CGGAGCCTGCCCGGGACCCCGCGGCCCCGGGCCTTCCCCCGGAGCCACCGACCCCCGCCAGCCCCGCAGCCTTGGGGAAGGACACGCACAGGGACATCAAATTCAGCATCGACTACATCCTCTCCTCCCCCGACCCCTGTCCGGGGCTCAGGCCGCGCCCCCAGGTGCAGGAGGCGCAGCAAATGAGCCTCCACTTTTGGACAATGTGAGAGGGGGCTGAGGCTGTTCGCATGGGGGCGGCTGGCACCCAATCCGCCTGAGGTCTCCTGGGTGATTTCAGCCTCACCTGTGGCCAAGAAGGGAGGTTTCCTCAACATCTCACCAGCGTCCACAGACTCACGCTCAGTGCCGGCACCTGCGTGGGAGAGAAGTCCGTCTTCAGACAGGTCCTCGTGGTGCTGGGGCTTCATCCTTTTGGGGGGGGAAAAAGTTTCCTTGCAGGAAAACCCACGGGATTCCTGTTCGACTTAAAAGTTTCTCTAGTGTTACGGAGGAATTCTGCCCGAGAAATAAGAACATAGGCTCAGGGCCACCTCCACTTAGAGTCAAGGGAACATTCCGTGACTGGTCTTTGAGCATTTGCTTCATAGACCACTGTACCCCAGAACCCGACGGTGACAGTGAGTGACATTGGTGAGTATCTCCTTAGAGATCAAAGTCATAAAAAGCACAAATGCTGAAGTCAAATACTAACTGACCCCACGAATGGTGCCCCAAGGTTTTGACTGTGTCCCTGTGATGGTGCTGTGATTGGAAGTGACAAATGCATCTTGTGCTGCGAGCAGAAAAAATTGGTGATTGTTTAAGAAATCCTATGCACTTTTTTATACATGAAGGAAGGAAGGAAGGGCAGGAAGGAGGGCGGGCGGGAGGGAGGGAGAGACATGGGGGTTCAGATGTGGATAACGCAGGGGCAAAGCTCACTTTTCTTGGTTCTTCTGAGGGGGGTCAGGTCCTATCTGGGCAGGTTGCATCCAGCTGGTTTCTGGAGAAAGCAGACATTCCACAGTAGGTGGTTGGCAAACCCCGCGGGGCTGTGAGGTGCGCACTCAGGAAGTATACAACTGGAGGTGGGTACACTCCATTTGAAATGTAAATCATTTAATTACTGTGTACGGACCGGCATTAAAAAAACACACACACGATTATGCGCAGCGAAACTATTTGACCAATCGCATCATTGTTCACCAGCCCAATTTTGCAGAGTTAATTGCTTTCCGTGACTTAATTTGAACATCGGTAAGGATTACACCTAATCTGATTCACTAGGTGACAATGACTGGCTAATTTCGTAACCGGCAAAAACACACGCAAGGAGGCCAACCATGTCCACTGGCGATTTGTAGTCTTGCTTTATCAAACTCTGAAAAACGAGCTGGGAGTAAATGAAGGCAGCTGAGCGGGGCAGGTCACGGAGAAGATGGGCTCAGACGTGGCTTCATTTCTGATTCAGAAGACCTGACGTTTCCTTAGACCACAGATTCCTTCCTCCACCTGTAATCACGGACCGTGTGCACCTGTAGCTGTTCGACACCAGGGGAGAAGGCCGATCCTTAGACCGCTGTGAACGCCTGGCCCCCACAGCAGAGATGCCCACTGGTGACCCGCCTGCTCCCCGCCCGCCAGCGCCCCTCGGCCCGGCCAGGCCCTGCCACCTGCAGCCTCTGCCAACGAGACATCCACCAGGCTCACAAGAGGAGAGAAGCCATGCCTCAAACGGCCCTCCTAAAAGCAGGATGAAGGCCTGTGACAGAGAGGACACCTCTCCTTCACAAACGACAGCTGCCAGAACTCTGCCAGGAATCCGCGGCCCACCAGGCCTGGTGCTGAGCCCCCGATGCCGGCTGTCTGCACGGCAGCCCTGGGAGGTGGGTACTGGGACTCTGATCCCCATTTTACAGATGGGGACCTGCGGGGCAGGGCACGCGGGCCCAGGATGCAGGCATGCAGCTCCGGGGACAGGCTGAGGACACTTCCTCCGTGCTGTGGCTCGTCCTGGCTCTGAATGCGTGTGCACACGTGCGTGTATGCATCGTAGATGTGTGTCATGTGTCTGTCTGCGTTCCTCTTATTTATATCCCTTTGTCGGTTGTGCTAAAAGCATCGTTTGAAATTTTGCTAGATATAACTTAGATGGTGACGCGATGCAGGTGGTACTAGCCATGAGTACATGGCATCTATAGTATCTGAAGATATATTTTTCTGCTACCAAGTGAACAAATAAAATTTGCATTTTATCTTTTGGGTTCTCGCCGTATTCCTGCGTTTCTCTCTGGTGCCTGGAGCCCGAATGAGGACAGAAAAACCCTTTGCCCTAAATAGACAATCTCCAGAGGCCCCAGCCCTGGACAGAGAGAAACGGCTTTGGAAGGGGGCAGGCTTTGATGGGCACCTCCTCCCCACCCCCCATCCTGGCAGACACCTCCTGGCTGCACGAGCAGAGGGGTGTCACCAGCGGCGAGATCTGTGCACTACAAGGTGTAACATTTGTTTTGCAAAGGATATCAATCATGTTTTAAAAGCGAAGGGACATTTTCAATTTGCCAGCGTCTGATATCCTGCGACTTCAGAAAAGCTCGCAGCCCTTCGAGTGAGTGGCATTTAATACCAAGCAACACGGCGGGGTGAGGGCTGGCTCTGACCTATTCAAATGTCGCCGCCACGGCGCAGGCTCGCCCCATGCAATTATAATTAAATGCTGCATGTCTCTCTTGCAAATCCGCTGATTGATCACCGATGCGTACGTTCCCGCCACGTTACCCCGAGCAGATGTCTGCCACACACGGTTATGGATCACCAAGTTCCCATTAACGAGGTTGGGAGGCGCCGCCTGCCGCGTTCGAGTTAGGGGGTGTGTGCGAAGTGCTGCCGTGCCCAGCAAAGTTCCTGCGCTTGGTGGCATCCAGACCGAGGACCCTTCTCCCAGGCCGCCCAAGGCTGTGGGGAGACCCTCCTCTGGGGAGACCCTCCTCACACAGCTGGCCTGAGCCAGGGGCGCCCTCCAGAACCAGAGGCTGCGGGGCTCTGGGGCCCACCTGGACCCTTCCGGGAGTAGATGGAGAACCCACCCCGCCCTGCATCCCACAGGCACAGGAACAAAATCCAGGACTGCGCATGGGCGGCCCTCGAATGCACACCGGCCTCGGATGACACACCGCGCCTGCCCGCACCGCGGGTCTCCCCGGGGAGGCGGACGGTGCCCGTGGTCCGACACCTCCTTCTACATCTGGCCTAGGAGTCCTTCCTCTCCTTATTGAGCAGATCCAGGGGCTCTTTGTTCACTCGATCAACGAGCATTCGTGAGCCCCACGCTAGCTGCTGGGGCGCAGCAGTGAACCAGAGGCGCCGACTGTGTTCCAGCCGGAGCAGCCCCTGAGCAAACGCAGGTCCACGCCCCCATGCGGCTGGGAGCAAGCCCGACACGGGGTGTTGAGATGGGGGTCACTCTGGGTGGTGGGGGCGACAACGAGCTCAGAGTGTGGTCGGCAGGGCCCTCCCAGGATGGGCGGGGGCAGCCGTGCCAAGAGGAGAGGGCATTTGGGTGGTGGGGGAGCCAGCAGGAACCCTGTGTGTGTGTGTGGGGGGGCGTTCGCAGAGTAGACCAGAAGGCCAGTGTGGTTGGGGGGAGGTGCAGAAAGGGAGAAGCGCCCGGGAAGACTCCAGTCTCTTCTCCTAGCCCCCAAGTACAGGCCAAACACCCCATTTCTTTAGCCTTTGAAATTCATCTGCTGCATTTGTATCAGTTTGTCACTTTTTTCCGATGCATGGAAGTCCTGCAGGATCATCACCTCCCATGTTCTGGGGGCTTTACCTTCGTTAATGTGACCTCCATGACAGCTGATTTACTTGTGCACACACCCCACACAGCTCCTGTCCCTGCCCCTCGCCTTCTCCCCAGCTGGTCTCATCCTGTGCTCATGAAACTGAGTTTCGGGACCCATGATACAGACGCAGGCGCGGAGGTAGCATGCAGCTGTCCTGTCTCACAGGCCCAGAGCCTCAGCCCCTTCCAGCAGGCGCTCCATGCGGTGTCAGAACTCAGGTACTTCTCAGCAGCTCCTCCTGCCTCCTCCCGCCAGCTCCAGCACCCTGTGGGCTGGGATGGGGCAGACACGAAGACGAGACACAGGCTCAGAGAGGCCTCGCAGAGCTGTCACTGCTGAGGCTTCCCGGTGACCGCCAAGGGTGGTCACACCCGCCAGCCTGCAGGTCAAATGTACTCAGACCCCAGAGCCACTCTGCCCACCTGCTGTGGCTGCCATCTGATCCCTGAGCATCAGGGCCTCGGAATCCGGGAACGGGAGGAGGGTGTGACCCCCATGCAGCCGAATGCCCCCAGCTGCCTTTTGCGGGGTCCACACTCCCAGTCTCCCCGGGGGTCAGCCCAGGCACAGCCCTGGCAGTCATCACTCCAAGGGGGACCAGGAGAGGCAGAGCGCAGGTCCGCACCTGTAACTGGATTGTGCGCTCAGCCAGATTAACGATCCGCACACATTTGCAAATCACGCGTTCATCCCGTTAAAAATACCAGCCGCATCACGTGTAAAGAGTCTCGTCCGCAGCTTCGCGGTTCTCGACCCAGCTCCTGGGAGCGAAGGCGCGGGGGTCTTCACCGACGCTCAGCTGCGCGCGGCCGTGGGACTGCGGTTCCCCAGCTGCGGCCACTGCGCTGGCTCCGACGCGCCTGCGCGGAGGTTTCTAACGCACAGGGGACGCGCGCTACGCCGCCACTGTTAGCAGCTAAGGAAACGGAGTGGGCGCGTTTGAACTTGGCCCAGCTCCCCTCCACGTTCGTGTTGGATGCAGGCGCCAGAGGAGGCGTCCCCCGTGTGACGGCAACCCACCTGCACGTCATGCAGCCACCCCGTGCCACCTGTCAGCACGCTGGGCCCTGGGCCCTGCGCCCTCGCGCCCCGTAGGCGCCTTCTGCGCCCTCCACGCCTAGAACTCACGC